TGTAGTGGCACCAAATTTTGTATAAAGGGGGTCAAATAAGGCGTCTTAGACAAGATTATGGTTTGCTGGTTATGATTATGCTCTCTGTATGTGTGTATCATTGTTGTAGTTGAAGTTATGAATATTGGCTCTATCCTGTCTGTATTTCAAACTTGTGCTGTGCTTCTGGGTGATACTCCAGACAAGTTAGTGTTAGCTCTGCCTAGCCTGCTTGATAGCCCATCAAGGACCATCAGCTATACAACTGACCCATTGAGAGAAGGCAGATGCACCTTGTGACTCAGCAAGGGATGCAGGGACATGCCTATGGACAGAACTCTGAGGTTTTTCCATGCCATGTGCTGGACAGCTTGTCCTTGGGACAAAGAAAGCAGAGACCACATGGCAAGAGACTATTAAAAGCTGCTGCAGCTCCTCCATCTTGTCTTCAGTCCTGCTTCTTACCTCTGCAGGGACTTTGCTACAAACTCTACACAAAGGACTGAATGACCCATCCCAGCTGGGGATGTTCCAGAGATTGGACTTGAACCTGCAGTTTATTCTATCACTGCTACAAGCCTGAACCAAGAACTCTGCCATTACTGGATGTCACTGATTCCATTTAACCAGTTCTAGCTCTCACCTATATCTTTTTCCTTTTATGAATAAACCTTTAGATTCTAAAGGATTGGCGACAGTGTGATTTGTGGGCAAGATCTGATTTGTATATTGACCTGGGTTTGGGGCTTGGTCCTTTGGGATCGAGAGAACCTTTTTTCTTTTACTGGGGTATTGGTTTTCAAAACCATAATGAGTAGCACTGGTGGTGATACTGGGAAACTGGAATGTCTAAGGGAATTGCTTGTGTGATTTGTGGTTAGCCAGTGGGGTGAGACCAAAGTCCTGGCTGGCTGGTTTGGTTTGCCTTAGAGGTGGAAAAACCCCAGCCTTGGGCTGTAACTGCCCTGCTTTAAGCTGTTTGTCCTGAATTGGCGCTCTCAGTTGGGTCCCACCTGAACGAGCATCATTACATCCCCCTTCCCAGCTCTGACACCACAGAGCCTTGCCTGTGTCCCGGTTCCCCATTTCCTCCTTCTTAGCAGGTCCAAATATACCTGCAGTGCGCGCCCCTAGTCACTCCCCTTACAACTTGTGGTCATGTTCCGTTCTGGAGGGTTGGGAGTCTGGGGTCTTCATCCCACCTCTTCTGTACCCCAGGGGAGGGGTGAGGAGTGAGGTTGTGTCCTGGCCAAGGCCAGGCATTTCTTTGGTTTTTAGTGGTTCTTATGTCTCCCCCCCCATTCCCCTTTGCCCCTCCTAACTGGTTGCTTGACCTTGGCTTGAGAGAGGAGCCAGGCAGCCTTCCAGTGTGTGCTCATATATAAAAATTTTATTGAAGCTAATGTTAAAAATGTATATAATACATAGGTTGGGAAAAGAGACTGTCTGTACATCTGGGTACAGTGCTTAGATTATCCACAAATATAAAGTTAGTTTTTAAAAGTCACCTTGTAACACTTTCTCTGTTCTTATCCGTTCCCATCATACTAACAAACCCATCTGGCCAGGCAGAAGCCACACACTCTGTCTTTGTCCTTCACACACATTAGTAAGGATGTCAGAATATCTAAAGTCAAACCCAAAATTCTATCTCAGGTTAACAAACAGGCTTATATGCTAACAGTTACGTCTGTTGAAAGTAAAACCAAAAAATGGAAGAGGAATTTGCAAAAAAATTTGAAATTTCAAAGTTGTTTCCATTTTTCAGTGTTCAAAATGGGACTTTTAGTTTGTTTGAAAAATATCATGAAATAACTTGAAAAAAATTTACATTTCTGTTTCCCTTTTTTTCCTAAAATGTAATAAAATAATGTCCATTTCCACCACCACCCCATTTGTTCCTTTTATTCCATTCTCTCCGGAACTCTTCAAAAGTTCTCCCATTTTAGAAAAATTGGCAAAAAGGAAAATCTAGGAGAAAAAGAACTGGAAATTATTCATGTTATTGTATCAGTGGCTAAAGGGAGGAAATGGGGAAACAAAGGGATAAAAACATTTGAAATTCTAAAAAAAATCTCAGCTTTTAAAAACCAAAATGAAAACTTCAGTTTGAAATGAAAATAAACATTTTTGTTCATTCTGAAATTTCCTGTAAAAAAACTGCTTATTTATTTATTTGCAAAAGACAGTTTCCCCATGGAAAAAAATTGTTTTCTACTAAATCCCATTTTCTTACAGGACTTTTTTGTGGTTGCATTTCAACCAGCTCTAGTTGAAAGACTAAAGGAGAAACTACTGTTAGCTAAACAAATTACACTCACATTATCAATGGAAATATTTGGATTATTAAAACTCTTTCCTTAATGCTCCATTTTCCTGTTTATAGTCAATTAAAGCAGAACAGTTTTTCTTTCCAAAGAGAATAAATAAGTAACAATCTTTCACAGAAAGGAACAAGTTTCTCACTGTTCTTCTTCTGTTAGACTAAGCAGAGTATCAATAACGTCCCCAGGGCCAGCTCTGGCTTTTTTGCTGCCCCAGGCAAAAAAGCCTCCCGCCGCCACCTCCCCCACCCCGTGCGGCAGGGGGAAGGGCGGCGAGCCCGGCCGGGGCTCCCTGCTCTCCCCGGCGGCCAGAGCACCGCCGGGAGGGTGGCGAGCCCAGTCGCGGCCCTGCTCTCGGGCCGTAGCGCCCCGCCGCGCCGTCCCCCTCCAGGTGCCGCCCCAAGCACATGCTTGGTGGGCTGGTGCCGGCCCTGAATGTCCCTGTGCACATTTGCCTCTGAGTAAGAACAGCACTTACCAGTAGTTTCTGGCTTGTTTTTTCCCCACTCGATTTATACGACAGAATCTCGTCTCTCTCTTTTTTCAAACTCTCCAAACGGATCTGAATTTTTTCCTAATAAAAGAAAAACTGGTTTAGTTTTGGTTGCTATTGGAGGCTTTCCCCCATTTTATTTATATTTTCTAGACTATTAAATGCATAATAAAATGGGTGAGTGCTCTAACCACATGACTATAGAGTCATTCTCATGCTTGCAGTCTCTCCCCCTCTCCTGCAAATGATTCTCTAAGTATTTATCCCCAGTGGAACAGCTTCTGCAGGAGAGATGGAGGGAGCCTATCTCAGAATATCCCATAGAGAGGTGGCAGATCCCTGTTCAAATCCTGTCTCCTCATCAGGTGGAAGAGGGACTTGAACCTGTGGCCTCCCATGTCCCAGGTGAGTGCTCTAAACACTGGGCTTTGGGATCGAGAGAACCTTTTTTCTTTTACTGGGGTATTGGTTTTCATAACCATTCATCCCCATAACAAGTGGCCCTGGTGGTGATACTGGCAAACTGGAGTGTCTAAGGGAATTGCTTGTGTGACTTGTGGTTAGCCAGTGGGGTGAGACCAAAGTCCTCTAAGTCTGGCTGGTTTGGTTTGCCTTAGAGGTGGAAAAACCCCAGCCTAGGGCTGTAACTGCCCTGTTTTAGCAATTTGTCCCGAATTGGCACTCTCAGTTGGGTCCCGCCAGAACCGCATCGTTACACCATCGTGATTAATGTACATCAGTTATATTTTCAAGACTCCCTGCTATAAAAGAATTTAACGTGCCTTGGTTTTTATTATGGAGAGGGACGAGAAGGAGAAAGGGGGTGTTGCTTGGCTGAGGAGGAAGAGATGGTAAGGAATGGACATAATTCTTTCCCAGTTGCCAAAGCCGGCATGTTCTCCTCCCTGATCCTGCACCTCTTTCCCCCCAGATAACAGGACCCTGGATCTTCATTTTGAACATATGGTCACACTACTCCTGCCTCCGCAGATTTCAAGAAATGTGCTGGAATGGGCCAGGCCCCCTCAGCCGTTGTCCATTGTGTCTGAGAAGCAAACCCTGCTCCCCCACCGTGCAACGATTAAAAGGAAACTCTGTGAGCTGGAACTTGTGGAGTTTCCTGCCCCCGTGTGGATTTTTCCCTGCACAGGGGCTGCCCTTGCTCTAGAGCACACAAATCATACCCTGCTTTACATCTCCTGGTACTAATAAAGCCATACAGCCCTGCTAGCGTGGGTGTAGTTACAGCTGTATAACCGGGTGTAGCTTATTCCTGTATGGAAAGGGAAACAAGCGTTCCTGGCATCAGGC